CTACTACTACTACTACTACTACTACTACTACTACTACTACTACTACTACTAAAATACAACTACTACTACTACTACTACTACTACTACTACTACCACTACTACTATAATAATACTACTACTACCACTACTACTCTACTACTACCGCACCACTACTACTAACTACTACTGCTACTACTACTCTAATACTACTACCACCTACTCTACTACTACTACGACCTACTACTATCTACTACTACTACACCACACTACACTACTACTACTGCGACTACTACTACTACTACTACTACTCCTACGAAACTACTACCACTACCACTACTACTACACTAATACTACTACTACTACTACGCTACTGACTACTACTACTATACTACTAACTAATACTACTATACTACTACTACACAACGACGACGACGACGATAACTATACTAACTACTCCTACTACGACTATTGCTGTTACTACTACCACTAATTCTACTACTACTACTACTACTACTACAACTACTACTACTACTACTGCTACTACTCCGACTACTACTACTAGTACTACTACGACTACGACTACGACTACGACTACGACTACGACTACGACTACTACTACTACTACTACTACTACTACGACTACGACTACTACTACTACTACTACTACTACTACAACTACTACTACTACTACTACTACTACTACTACTACTACTACTACTACTACTTACGACTACTACGACTACTACTACTACTACTACTACTACTACTACTACTACTACTACTACTACTACTACTACTACTCCTACTCCTTATTCCTTATTAGAATATACTCCTACTCCCCCCTCAGGCCGGCAGATAGGGGCGCATCCGGGTGGTCCCATCCTAACCTGTAAAAAACAATACAAAATCAACATGTTTTCTTATTTTTTCCTCTCGACATGGACGTCCTGTCGTCCACGGCGATAATCCATTGCAAAAAATACCACAAAGAGCACACGCGCGCGTTCATGTCAGAATCCTACCGAACACCGTGTGTTTGCAAGCATTTCAACATAAAAACATCAAAAACCCAATGCTTTTTCACAAAAATTGTACAAATTTCCCGCCCGGGCTCTCTTGCTGAAATCATAGGAAAACCATAGGAATCTTAAGAATTCTGTCAAATCCAGCGATTTCACGTCATCGCGCGGTGCACTCGCGATGCTCTGTCATGCACCCAGGCCGCGAATCCTGTGCAAAAAATACCACAAAGAGCACACTCGCGCGTTCATGTCAGAATCCTACCGAACACCGTGTGTTTGCAAGCATTTCAACATAAAAACATCAAAAACCCAATGCTTTTTCACAAAAATGCTTTGGGGTGTCCTGTCAGACCGTCGGGCTTCCTCCGGCCACCTCTGGCTTCCTGCGGTGTACCGGGCCATTCTCGACTCGTCTGGCAATGCGTGCGCGGCATTCAACACGCGCTCGCCAGTTCCCGTCGGCAACCGCCATCGCGGCCGCATCAGCTGTACCAAACCGGCTGGCCGGTGTGACTTCGGCCCCCAGTTGTGCCAGCTTTGCTTCTTATGTTGTGGGAGGGCGGGTGGGACTGGGCATGCCATGCTTGACTCGCTCGAGCTGGCTAGCTTGACTCCTACTCCTATCCTTATTCCTTATTAGAATATACTCCTACTCCCCCCTCAGGCCGGCCATTAGGGGCCGCATCCGGGTGGTCCCATCCTAACCTGTAAAAAACAATACAAAATCAACATTTTTCTTATTTTTTCCTCTCGACATGGACGTCCTGTCGTCCACGGCGATAATCCATTGCAAAAAATACCACAAAGAGCACACGCGCGCGTTCATGTCAGAATCCTACCGAACACCGTGTGTTTGCAAGCATTTCAACATAAAAACATCAAAAACCCAATGCTTTTTCACAAAAATTGTACAAATTTCCCGCCCGGGCTCTCTTGCTGAAATCATAGGAAAACCATAGGAATCTTAAGAATTCTGTCAAATCCAGCGATTTCACGTCATCGCGCGGTGCACTCGCGATGCTCTGTCATGCACCCAGGCCGCGAATCCTGTGCAAAAAATACCACAAAGAGCACACTCGCGCGTTCATGTCAGAATCCTACCGAACACCGTGTGTTTGCAAGCATTTCAACATAAAAACATCAAAAACCCAATGCTTTTTCACAAAAATGCTTTGGGGTGTCCTGTCAGACCGTCGGGCTTCCTCCGGCCACCTCTGGCTTCCTGCGGTGTACCGGGCCATTCTCGACTCGTCTGGCAATGCGTGCGCGGCATTCAACACGCGCTCGCCAGTTCCCGTCGGCAACCGCCATCGCGGCCGCATCAGCTGTACCAAACCGGCTGGCCGGTGTGACTTCGGCCCCCAGTTGTGCCAGCTTTGCTTCTTATGTTGTGGGAGGGCGGGTGGGACTGGGCATGCCATGCTTGACTCGCTCGAGCTGGCTAGCTTGACTCCTACTCCTACTCCTACTCCTACTCCTACTCCTACTCCTCTTCTCCTCCTCCCTCCCTCCCTCCCTCCCTCCCATCCTACCTCCCTCCCTCTCCTCCTCCTCCTCCTACCACTACTACTACTACTACTACTACTACTACTACTACTACTAGTACTACTACTACTACTACTACTACGACGACGACGACGACGACGACGACGACGACGACTACTACTACTACTACTACTACTGCTGCTACTGTTACTGCTACTGCTACTGCTACTACTACTACTACTACTACTACTACTACTACTACTACTCCTCCTCCTCCTCCTCCTCCTCCTCCTCCTCTCCTTCTCCCTCCCTCCCTCCCCTCCCTCCCTCCCTCCCTCCCTCCCTCTCCTCCTCCTCCTCCTCTCCTCCTCCTCCTCCTCCTCCTCCTCATCATCATCATCATCATCATCATCAGATTCGTCCTCATCCTCCGCTTCTTCTTCGTCTGCCTATTATAAGCATGAAAGATATTATTATGTTTGTTAGTCGTAGTTTTCTTCGTGCTGTTAGTATGAGTGTAATGTTTAGTGTTGCTAGGATTCGCCTTCGTACGTGTCTTATGAGCATGCGTCGGAGTAGTACTATTGGTATTATTATTCGTCTTATTAGTAATATGTTTCGCAGCATCCCTCTCTTGTCGTAGCATTAATAATATGATTACTCTACGATTCGTCTTATCATTAATATGACTAGTTGTCACAGTATGATTTGTATTAGTATTAGTAGTAGTGGTAGTAGTAGTAGTAGTAGTGGTAGTAGTAGCAAAAATAGTAGTAGTAGTTGTAGTAGTTGTAGTAGTAGTAGTAGTAGTAGTAGTAGTAGTAGTAGTAGTAGTATAGTAGTAGTAGTAGTAGTAGTAGTAGTAGTAGTAGTAGTAGTAGTAGTAGTAGTAGTAGTAGTGGTAGTGGTAGTGGTAGTGGTAGTGGTAGTGGTAGTGGTAGTAGTAATAGTAGTAGTAGTCGTAGTAGTAGTAGTAGTAGCAGCAGTAATAATAGTAGTAGTAGTAGTAGAAATAGTAGTAGAAGTAGTAGCAGTAGTAGTAGTAGTCGTCGTCGTAGTAATCGTAGTAGTAGTAGTAGTAGTAGTAGTAGTAGCAGTAGTAGTACGATTCGTTTTCTTATCCTCATTCGTATTATCACTATCCTTCTTATTTATATCAGTACTCCTTATCCTCCTCCTCCTCCCTCCTCCCTCCTCCTCCTCCTCCTCCTCCTCCTCCTCCTCCTCCTCCGCTGCCGCCGCCGCCGCCGCCTCCGCCTCGGCCTCCGCCTCCGCCTCCGCCTCCGCCTCCGCCTCCGCCTCTGCCTCCGCCTCCGCCTCAACCTCCGCCTCCACCTCCGCCTCCGCCTCCGCTTCCGCCTCCGCCTCCTCTTCCCCCTCCTCCTCCTCCTCCTCCTCGCCTCCTTGGCGCCTTCTGGGGGCCTCTAGGGGCGTCCTCGGGCCACCCTGCTTCCAACTGCGGTCTCCCTAGACGACCGGGTCACGATTTGGAATACTTCGGGGGGCGTCTTGGGCTCATTTTGGGCCGTCATGGGTCTCTTTTCGGTCCATCTTGGGGCCCTGCTGGGCCGTTGTGGGGGTCTTTTGGACTGCCTGGAAGCCCTTTCGGATAGTTTGGACGTGATTGTCGGGCCTCCTGGGCGGTCTCGGACGCCTGGAAGACCGAAGAACAGAGCATGCCCAAAAACGTACACAAAGCATTGGAAATCAAAATTGCTCTGCATTTCGAAAACCTCTTGGGGATGTTCTTTGAGTCGTCTTCGGGCGTGTGGTGGGTGTTTGGGGCCCCTTGGGGCCTTCGGGGGGCCGTGTGGCCGCACTCCTGACCGATTTGGGCCCGCTACCTGAGCCCAGCAGGGGCTTCCAGGAGTTTCCAAAAGCCCAGAGAACCTCCTGCAGGGGCGTCCTAGAGGCCCCCAGGGATCAGGGGGGGGATCCGTTTAGGGGGAGGGGGGGGGGCTCGCAGGGTGCCAGATTGTAAAAGTAGAGAAGAGGGAACAAAAACACAAGCACCCAAAAGGCGATAACCGCACTTGGAGGAGGAGGCGTCGCCTCGCGGTCCCCCACGCCGCCGCCGAAGTGCAGGCCCTCCAGGGCCGCGCGGAAGAGCTCGGGCGTCAGTGGCACAGGCGCCTCTCCCCCGCGCGCGCGAGAAGCGGCCGCCCGGGCCAGCCCTGTCTGCGGCTGCTGCTACTGCTCGGCCCACTCTCCGCCTGCTCCCTATCCTCCTCGCCAGCCTCGCCACCATCATGCAAATGATCAACAACACCATCATTTTCCACAAATGCCCTCGTCATTGTTCTCGGCATCATCCTCGTCATCCGCCTCGTCATAGTTCACCTCATCATGGTCCGCGTCATCATCTTGAGCATCGTCGTAGTCGTCGTAGAGTTATGACCCTTACCCGAATATCCCTACTACTATGAGTACTAGTACTAATCATCAGCAGCATCATCAACGGCATCATCAACAGCAATCATCAGCATCATCATCAACAGCAGCATCCTCATCATCATCCTCCTCCTCCCCCTCCTACTCCTCCCTCCTCATCCTCCTCCTCCTTCTCCTCCTGATCATCATCATCATCATAATCATCATCACCATCATCATCATCATCAGCAGCATCATCATCATCATCTTCATCAGCATCAGCATCATCATCATCGTCATCAGCGTCGTCATCATCGCCGTCGTCGTCATACTCATGTTCACCATCATCATCATCATCATCATCATCATCATCATCATCATCATCAGTATCATCAGCAGCAGAAGCAGAATCACCAGCATCACTATCATCGTCATCGTCTTTATCATCGTCATGATCAGAATCGTCGTCGTCATCTCTATCGTCACCGTCGTCATCGTCACGAGTGTCATCGTAACCAGTAACATCATCATCATCGTCATCATCATCAGCGTCATCGTCGTCGCCACCGTGATCGTCGTCATCAACACAATCCTCAGCATCATCATCAGCAGCATCAGCAGCATCATCTTCATCATCACCATCATCAGCATCATCACCAGCAGCATCAGCATCATTATCATCATCGTTATCATCATCATCGTCATCTGCATCTGCATCTGCATCAGCATCATCATCATTGTCGTCTCAGTCGTCTGCGTCGTCAGCATCAGCATCAGCAACAGCATCAGCATCACCATCATCAGCATTACCATCATCAGCATCACTATCAGCACGATCATCAGAATTATCACCACAACAATCATTATCAACAGCAGCATTGTCGTCACCATCATCCCCGTCGTTGCGTTCGTCATCATCATCACCAGCAGCATCAACATCAGCATCATCATCATCATCATCATCATCATCATCATCATCATCATCATCATCGTCGTCATCTCTATCGTCACCGTCGTCATCGTCACCATTGTCATCGAAATCCACTTCATGACCGTCGTCATCAGCATCATCAGCATCATCATCACCATCATCATCCTCGTCAGAATCATCATCAGTAGCACTAGCAGCATCGTTGTCGCCATCATGATCATGATGATCATCAGCATCAGCAGAAGCATCAGCATCATCATCAGCAGCATCATCGCCAGCAGCATCAGCATCATCATCGTCAACAGCAGCATCATCGTCATCAGCAGCATCATCAGCAGCATCATATATTGCATAGCCCGAACCGACGTCATAAGAACAATCATCATAACCACCATCATCATCATGCTCAGCGCACTCTTTCTCTTCCTCCTCCTGCAACTCCTCCTCCTCCTCCTCCTCCTCCTCCTCCTCCTACTCCTCCTACTCCTCCTCCTCCTCCTCCTCCCTCCTTCTCGCAGTTGACCCTACTCCTCCTCCACATTTTCCTCCTCACTCCTTCCTCTTCCCTCCTTCTCATCCTCTTCCCCTCTTCCTACTCCTCCTCCCCATCCCCTTCCTCCCTTCCTCCCTTCCTTACACTCCTCCCGTCTCATCCCCCTCCCCTCCCCTTCCTACCTCTTCCCCCTTCTCATCCTTCTTCTCTCTGGCCGCGACGACGACGACGACGACGACGATGACGTCGACATCGACATCGACGACGTGGAGGGCGGAGACGACGATGACAACGAGTCGACAGCACCGACGCCTACGACGGTGACTTCAGCGCCGACGCCGACCACAACGTCGCCGCCGCCGCCAGGGTCCAGCGCGGCGCCGAGGGCCGCTGCAGGGCCAGAAGCCCTGCTGAGCAGCAGCGACGGGGACTACCTTTATGTTGCTTCCATCGTACTGAAGGACCAAGTCCCTGAAAAAAATTCGAGCACCCACAAAAAAAGAATCGAAACAGCGTCGAACGAGTATCGCCTCCCAGGGCCCGACACGTGAAAACCTTCAAGTTTCGGTACTTTCTGAGTGCTCGAAATTTTGTCTGGCGATCAAAGCTAAAGTAGGTTGTAACAACATAGGACTACCTACCAGACCACCCCAACCTTACCCGAAGACCCCAAGTTCAGGTTGGGGGGGAGGCACGGGCTCCACATGCGTTTTTTCTTCACTGTTCCCCGACGCCCCCCCCCCCCGCACTGGGAATGGAAGGCAAATTTGGGCCTTCGGGTTGGGTTGGGGGTGATTTGGTGGGTGGTGGGACAGGGGGGAACCGGCTCAGGTAGGGGGGGCAGCCTCGAGCTGGAATCGGCGATGCGTCACCGACAGATCAGCGGTAGGCCCCTGATAGCGAAACCGCACGTCTCTGGGCGGGTCCCCTCGGCGATCTACGGGCCATTGGGGGTCGATGCATCGGCCCTGAGCCTGACTACCCCCGTGGTTTCCAGGCCATAACTCAGCTCTCCGGCGGCCGTTCAGGACGCCCCTGGCACCCCCAGAACGCTATCGGCCAGGCGCAGCTGCTGGAACGCATCCTGAGGTTGGAAAACCAATGGGCACCGACGAAAATGCGATCGGCCAGGCGCAGCTGCTGGAACGCATCCCCAGGTTGGAAAATCACCGGGATCCCACGAAAATGTTCGAAAATCTCGGATCTTCTCTTCGTCGGGCTTGGAGTACCATGTGGGACCTGCTCTAGAACAGGAACATACCGTAGACGGATATACCCTTTCTCCGACCTTGCACCGCGCCGAACGCAACGGCCACGTTGTCCATAGACATATCCACCCTGAAAGGATCTTTGGACGTCACGGCACCCAATATGTCCATAAGCGCGTTTGGCGAATTAGGACGTGAGAACGGTATTTGGCATCGGCCCCAGATGCTGGTCTCCTATCATCGGCGGTGGACAAACCTCCCTTTGGCAAGCCCCCCTTTAGTGAGAACGACCTGGGACTGGAACCGACGGACCTGGACCCGCAAAAATAACGGCCGTGACGCCCTCTCGCGAACCGAAAACGGCCAATTCACTAATCGACGTGTGAGGGTAGGAGGTCTATCAAACTCCGATCAAAGCAGGTAGGCTTGGCCCTCCAAGCTCGGGCCGGCCGATCTTGGGCCGCCGCGGGCCGCCGCAGGCCGCCGCCCGCGCCTCCGGCGTGGCGCCGGGGCCCACGGCCTCGCAGGCGAAGCCGCCGGCGCTGCGGCGGGCCAGGAGCTGCTCGAGGAGGCACCAGCCCCTCCTGGCGGGCGGGCACAGCGAGGGAGGAAGGTCGGCGGCTGGGGTGGGACGCACAGAGGCATGCCAGTACTGTATGTCCTCCTTGGAGGCGCGCGTCCGACCCGAACATGTAGTATACCCGTCTTGTAGCAGATCGTTTCCCGAGCGGTGTGGCCAGAAAGAGCCCGCCACGACGCCTATACGATACTAGAAGATTTCCCTGTGCGCGCGTCGGGGGGTGCGACGAACACATCGTGTTAGTAGGTTGGGGTGACGCCGCTGGGATCCCCCCCTTCGCGCAGGATGGTCTGCTCCATCCGGGCGCTTCTCCTGAGGGAGGTCGGTGGCTGGAGTCCCCGACTTCGTACGGCCTTGTTCGTTCAATCTGGGCGCTTTTCCTGAAGGAGATCCCGAGGCTGGGGTCCCCGACTTCGTATACATTGGTCTGTTCCATCTGGGCGCTTCTCCTGAGAGAGGTCGGTGGCTGGGGTCCCCGACTTCGTGGCCAAGGTCCCCGACTTCCCTGGCCCAAGAGGCGAATATGCTAAAAATATACGTTGTTCCAAAGGACTGGGACGGTGTTTGCTTTTTGGGGCCCGCTTGGATGCCTCTTGGGGGCGTCTTGGGGAGGCTTGGGGCTGTCGCGGTGTCATCTGGGGCCGTCTTGAAGCTCTCGTGAGGCGCTTTTGGGGGCCTCGAGGGCCAGTCGCAGGCTGTCGTGGGTGGTCTTGGAAGATTCTCGGGCTTTCTGGAACCTCTGGGGTTCGCCCGGGGAGGTCCCTGGGGCCCTGGGTCCAGGATCTCCTTTACTCCCCAATCAGAGCTTGCCCCTGTAGGGGTCCTAGCAGATTCATATGGTTAGGTGAGGTTCGTCGCCGATTTCGGTGGCTGGCACGGGTGCCCAGGTGCCCAGGTGCCTGGGAGCCCGGAGGTGCCCAGGTGCCTGGGTGCCCGGGTGCCCGGGGGTGTCCGGAGGTGCCTGGGGGTGCCCGGTGGTGCCAGGGGGTACCCAGGTGCCCGGGTGCCCGGGTGCTCTGTCGCCCTATAGCCCGATAGCCCTATAGCCCTAATAGCCCTTTAGCCCTATAGCCCTAAATCCTTCTGCCTGATAGTCTGATAGCCCTATAGCCCTATAGCCCTATCGTCCTATGACCCTATAGCCCTATAGCCATATAGCCCTGTAGCCCTATAGCCCTATAGCTCTATAGCCATATAGCCCTCTAGCACTATAACCCTATAGTCCCATAGCCCTATAGCCCTATAGCCTTATAGCCCCATCGCCCTATAGTCCTATAGCCCCATAGCCATATAGCCCAATGGTTGTTCTTAGGTCTCATATGTTCATATATATATATACACATAAGGTATAAGGAGAATGGAGGAGGAGGAGGAGGAGCAGCAGCAGCAGTAGCAGCAGCAGCAGCAACAGCAGCAGCAGCAGCAGATATCCGCCGATCCGGCGTGCGAGTTTCTGAGAGCGTGGGC